GTCAAATATATATCACTCCTATTTGATCATGTCGGCAAAGTCATTTCAGAGAAAGAGAAACGAAATATAAAAATTCGACATTTATCGTATCTAAAAGTGAGTTGAATTCTATTCTTTTGTTCTAATAGCACCATATCATTAAGTATTCACACGAAACAACAAATGTTGTGCAGTATTCATAATGCGAGAACATGACCGCCACTTATAATATTCATCTCCTATCAGCTTGCTATCACCTTCTTCTTCTTTCAAAACAATGAATAGAAGAAAAAATGAATTATTAATGTTTGACAATCCTTTCTCTTTCTCTGTTTTACTTTCAAAAGTTTCGTTTAATATTGAACATATATTATAATTCCTATGTAAATATTTAAACTCATTTCTAGTAAAGACTATTCTTCTGTTCTTTTACTTTAGACAATCATATTAAAACAGCCAACTAAAGACAATATGTTATCTACCTTATAGCTCTATTAAACTGTCATTCGGTCGTATAATATATTGAAAAACCTTAACTTTTGATTTATAACAGCATGTATCGATTATTAACATTTTATATTCTTTTTTCTGTCCTATTATTAATGCCAATTGATGCTGCAAAAAAACGAACATATAGTAAGACAATGACATAGAATTTCAATAATCCTTCCTTTTTTTTATTTTTTTAAGCGACGGGTATTGCTGATATTGTTCGAACAGCATTTCGACGAACTTTTCATCATTTTATGTTTCGTCAAACATCTTATGATTCAGATGTCTTTCGTTATACTCAATTATCACAACGTCGTATTGGAGGATTATATGCAGGTAGATATGAATATTTATGCAATGATAAAGTTAAGTATTTTATTAAGATAAAAATATGAATTATTTTAGGAGAATCATGTCGTTTATCAGCAAATATATGTTCACATGATGAACAATGTTGTTCAGGTCGTTGTATATGTCGTCGTTGGTCAATAATGGGAGAGCAACGTTGTATTAGAAAATGTTTTTAAAATAAGAAAAATAATATTGAATTATGAAATTGAATTTGGCAATATGTCTGATAAAATTATTATCATGATAATAATGGAAAATAATCAAATTAAATTACTATAATGGAATTCTAATGAAATATTATAAATAAGATAAATTATCTGTTTTGTTTTATATTTTTCTTGATTGTTGAATATTTGTATAGTTTGTAATAATATTTTAATTCAATTTTTTACATTTGATAATATTGATAAATACAATAAGAAATTTGAGACTAATTGAATTGTTCCTTTTTTTTACTTTAATAAAAAAGATCTATTATTAAATGAGATTTTCTAATTATTATCATTATGTGATTAGAAAGATCTTTCTTTTCTAATAAAACTAAGAAGTGACATCTATTTGACTGTACAAGACGTACTTTTAAATTTTAGATACACTTCAGAAAAATAATTATTATCTTCAAGTATTCAAATTCCATTAATACATCATTGCGAAAATACAATCATATAGTAATTTCATTGATTGTTATAATAACAGATCAAACTAATGAACTCTCTACTTGTGTTAATCGAATACAAACGAACTGTTTACTTATCATCAGTGGAGGATTTAGGGGGAGGGCGATCGTCTCTTCCTTCAGAAAATTTTTTTGATTTTTTACAGCAAAAATAGGTTTACACTACTTCGATTGTATTCAAAAAATAGTTTTTAGCCAAAATCGCCCCCCCCCCTCCTCAGGTATCGCTCCTGTCTACTTAGGCATCGTCCCCTCCCCCTTCCGAAATCCTAGATCCGTCACTGCTTATCATTAATATTATACATTTTATAAAAAAAACAACTATTGTAATATTGCCATCAGTTATTATCATATAAATCTATACAATACAATAGCCTTGAATAAGAATTCTAACTACAACAGATAAGTTATTATATAATGTGGAAAGAATCTAGTAATATATACTCTGATCAAGTAAGATTATATTTATTTCTATGGAATACTTATTTAGAATATATCTTTTCAATTTGTTAACCTTGATGTAAAGTATATATGTTCTGTTTTATCAATGTCAAAAGAATAAAGAAAAATGACCGACAAATCATTTCGGATAGATGTACTCTTTTTTTTTGTTCATGGTTCATAATAACGTATAAATTTCCGAGAAATCACTTGATGAATTTATTTAAAAGCGTGCATTTTCTCAATCAACAGTTCATATAAATACAAATTTTTGTAAATTGATAAGTTCTTGTTTGATGATTCAAACGGATTCAAGTAAGTGGAAATTTATCAAACAAAATTTATTTTAATTAAATCTTGAAAAATCTTTGACCTATATCAATAAATGAATTCTTATAAAATATATCGAGACTGTTTTGTACAATCAATAATTGTTTATACATTTCGATATCGAATATTGTTTTTATTGGTTAATGTATATGAATAAAATATTGAACTCTTTGTATTTGACTGCATGCTTCAGGCCATTAGACAGTAATTAATCAAAACATGAAGGTAGTACCATTATAATTGATGCCCACGAGCTTTTTGTTTTACGATTACTACTTCAATTTTCACTATGCTACTGAAATATAATCTTATCTCAGTTTTTCATAACGTCTCTATATAGTTCACTTGACAATTGATTGATTTGTTTTCTCTTTTTTTTTATTTCTCTTGTCATCAACTACTGAAATTTCAAACTCATTTCTTACTAGTATACCTGTTTCATATAAGTGTGAAGTAGCTCATTTGTTTGATGAACACATGTAGACGAAAAGAAAGAATATAAAACAAAAAGAAGAAGTAATTGAATTGCTTCTTCTTCTTTTTTTTCTTGTTATATTCTCGGTGCCATATGTATACATCTAGATCATCACGAGAGAAAAATGAGATTGAACATAGATTTTATTCTTATTAATGTATGCAAGCTGTGCTGCATTAGCTTGTCATCCATGAGATATAGACATAGAATACAATACAAATAGTAAAACGATGATTGCTTCAAGCTGATGCCAACTGAACAACGATTACTCTGTCTTTAGTAACAATTGACAAAAAAAGACTGCAGTCATTGATACTCTTTGCTGCAAGTATGTACGAAGTTATTTCTATGAATTTAGTTGTCGTATTTTTTATTTTAGAAGATTGATTAACTAAATTGACAATCAATTGACCGACAACAAGCTATGCAAATAGAACAATAATATCGTCCCTCTCATTTTTTTCTCTTGCGCTATTGTTCTGTTCTTTAATTATCAATTCTCCCAGACTATAGCCTAACGCAAGGCCAATATACATATATATATGTATGAGCGCGCGTATCGTTCAATTCAAGTGGTTAGAGAACTGGCTGCTTGATCATTTGGACATAGTGTGTGCATGCATGCATACATTATATGAATATATATATATATAAACATAAATTGGACATACGTTTCATTTTATACCCACGATTGGCAGCATTATACAAGTTTAACTGCTTCTCTTTTTCTTTATAGATTAATTATTTGATATTCTATTTTAGACGGCAAGATGATATCTTTACATTTATCTCTTCTTGCAATTACTTTAACATTTAGTCATGCATCTAATATTATCTATCTTGAAAATTGTTCATATGCAATCGATCTTTATAAACAATATTTAAATCTTCTTTGGTCATCAAATGATTCTCATACAGTACATATTCAAGCTGTTTATTCTTTATCATCAAATAATTCTCTTATACCCGGACATATCTATACATATTTTTCTCAATCAGTTGCTTTAATTCCATTTTTTGTTCAATGTAAATATCCGGAAAATTTTTCTGTTAAATCCTATTTACCATTTACACAATGTTCATCAACAATATCGAATATAATTACACAACCAAATCATGAATCAACACGAACTTATCTTAATCTAAAATCGATTCTATCAATGACAAATGTTCCTTTAATTTATACAGGCGAATATAATGTTTTATTATCAAATTGTTCATTTCAAGTTAATTCAAATATCTATCAATTAAATCCTAATGATATATTTCTATTTCGTATTGAATATGAAAATTCAATCAATACAAATATAAAATCATGTCAAACATGTAATAAACGTACATCAATATGTCATGAAAATAAATGTCTATGTCGTACAGGTACAATTCCAACCAAACTTTATCAAAATAAAGAATATTGTATTGATATAACATCAAATTGTTCATATGATACACAACGTTGTTTAACTTCCAAATCAATACATGTATTAAATCCTCGTTCGAATTTATTTATTTTCATATTAATTATAATCATATGTTTACTTTTTATAATATTTCTCGTTTTATTATGGTGTCTATTTCGTAATACATCGAAACATACATTTCGTAAAGAAAAAGATTATTCATCGAATCAATCGATATTTATGATTAATAGACATGAACGTACACCATCAACAATATCAACGACTGATTCAACAAAATTAAGTGATTTTAATCATATTGATCAATATATTCTTAGTAATGAATATGTTAGTACATTTTATGAAGAATATCCAAAAATAATTTCGGATAAAAATAATGGAGAAGTTGTTTTAATTTTAGCGTAAAATAATATCATTTTCTCTTTCTGTTTTCTTGTTTACTGTTTTACTAGTCATTCATTTAATTTAAATAAAAAATAAAACATATATATATATATTATATCAATATTATGTATTTCTATGTAATACTAATGAAATATGCGAGAAAAATAGATGTCTGAAGTGCTCTGCTATGGTATTCGTCAGATTTGTCGTTCTGTTCTATTTATAACGAAGAAAAATAATAACTGAAAGAACGAAGTAAAGTATATAATACGATGAGAGGTAGCCTTGACGCGTTTAGTTGCCCTCTCATTTTATGAAGAGGAATGAGAGTAGCGTGTGCATACGATGATGCTGTTAGATTGAGAAGCACACAGATAATCATGATATAGAATCACATGCTCTTTTATATCGTTCTTTTTTTATTTTAATACCTAGATTATTTAGCGTCAAAATTATGGTGAAAACAACAGAAAATAATTCAGATACAGGAGCAACAGAGCAACTAGCTGCACACCCAGCTCAAATTCCCACTCATCCAGATGAGAAAAAAAGTCTACCAGCACCAAATATTGTTCCTGATGGAGTTTCTCCACCAATACAACATCCATTAGATCCATTAAATGCTGGTAAAGTTTATAAAGAACAAATAAAAGAAATAGGTCACATTATGATTTAGATGAAATAAACTTAACAACACGATTACTTCTGGCATCATCAAAGTTTCAAAAATATATGCGTATCATAACAATAACTCCAAATGAACCTGACAATAAACAATCTGTTGTTAATTATAAATCAAAAGATCAATTACAACGACGTGCTACTGCAACAGTTCGTGATCCCAAAGGTCGAACAACTTATGAGTTTGTTGTTGATTTAACAAATAAAACTGTTGAAAAATGTACTGAATACAAGAATGGTCAACCTGGTTTAACATTTGACGAAATGGTTGAAGGTGATGATTTACTTCGTGCAAATAAAGATTTGTTAGCTGCATTTGCTAAACGAAATATTAAAATGGATGATGTTGTTTTTTATCCATTTTCATCTGGTTATCGTGATGAAACAGATGCATCATCTAAAAGACGAATCTATCGTCCATATGCTGCTGTTAGAAAACATCCAGAAGATAATTATTATGCACATCACATTGATGGTCTTGTTATTACTGTTGATTTAGATTCATTTACAGTTGAAGTTGAAGATCATGCCATTATACCGATAGCTCCAAAATCTGGTAATTATGATCCAGAAGGTATTAAATCACCAGACAATGTACCCTATTTTCCTGATGGTATTCGAAAAGATCTTAAACCATTTATTATTACTCAACCTGAAGGTCCATCATTTCAAATAGATGGCTATCAAATTTCATGGCAAAAATGGCGTATTAGAGTAGGATTCAATGTTCGAGAAGGTTAGAGTGATTTTTTTTATTCATTTGTCTAATAAATAATCTCTTGTAGGTCTTACAATGAATATGGTTGAATATTTTGATCAAAATCGTTATAGACCTATCTTTTATCGAGCAGCTATCTCTGAAATGTGGATACCGTACGCTGATGCTAGTCCTGGACATAATTATAAAAATGCATTTGATGTTGGTGAAGCTGGCATAGGTTTATTAACAAATAGTTTAGTGCTTGGATGTGATTGTCTTGGTGAGATTCGTTATTTGGATGGTATTGTTAATAATAATCAAGGTCAAGCATTATTATTAAAAAATGCTATTTGTATTCATGAAGAAGATATTGGATTACTTTGGAAACATACCGAGTAAAGAGCTATTATATTTTCTCTTTTTGTTATATAATTAATATTATTTTATAAAAGGTTTGTTGACCAACGTGTTCAATGTCGTCGTTCAAGACGTCTTGTTATATCTTCAATGATTACAGTGGGTAATTATGAATATGGTTTGTATTGGTATTTTTTTCAAGATGGTACTATTCAATTTGAAGCTAAACTTACTGGAAGTATTGCACCAGGTAAATGAGAAGAAAAGAATATATTTTATAATAGAAATTTTTTTTTTACAGGTGCATATGAAACTGATAAACCACCTGTCTCTGGTGGAATAGTAGCTGAAGGATTATATGGTCCACATCATCAACATTTTTTCAACATGCGTATTGATTGGATGCTTGATGGAATGAAAAATTCGCTCGTCGAAGTTAATTGTGAACCAATACCGAAAGGACCACAAAATCCAGCAGGAAATGCTTGGATAGCACAAGAAACAATCTTAAAAACTGTTGGTGAAGCACGTCGATTACATGATGATAAAAAAGGTCGTGCTTGGAAAATTATTAATAGTCAAAGTAAAAATCATGTTAATCAACCAGTTGCTTATAAAATTATTCCATCTGGTCCACCATGTTATCCGTTATGTGATGAAGATTCTTGTCAAGGTCGTCGAGGTGTATTTGCCCGTAATCACATATGGGCAACACAATATCATCCAGAAGAATTATATGCTGCTGGTCTTTTTCCTAATCAATCTCCTGGTGATGATGGTATTGTTGCTTATAGTGAAAAACATAAAAATGAATCATTAGTTGATAGTGATCTTGTTACTTGGTATACATTTGGTGTTACACATATTGTACGACCTGAAGATTGGCCTATTATGCCTATCGAAACATGTGGATTTCGTTTGAAACCGTATGGATTTTTTGCTGGAAGTCCAGCACTAGATGTTCCACCACCGGTTGCAAAGGAATGTCACGGAGGAACATGCTTAAAGCATTAACTTTTAAAATTAAATAAACAATAAAAAACAACTCGAAAGTTATATTTTTCTAGATTTAATGTCTCTCTATATATATTAGTGACCAAAAAATTTATTTAATAAAAATAGATGTATAATGTGCTCTATCACGATGTCAGTCAGTTTGTTGTTCTGCTACATATATATATGACGAAGAAAAATATTAACTGATAGAACGAAGTGAAGTATATAAGACGATAAGAGGTAGCCTCGAGGCGCACAATTGGTCTCTTATTTTATGAAGAAGAGGGGAAGTTGCGTGCGCACGCGATTATGCTGTTAAATTGGAGAGCAGATAGATGATCATGTTATAGAATCACATGTTCTCTTATATCGTTCTTTTTTTATTTTAATACCTAGATTATTTAGCATCAAAATCATGACGAAGTTAACAGAAAATGATTCAGATATAGGTGCAACAGAGCAATTAGCTGCACACCCTGCCAAACTTCCAACTCAAATAGATGAGAAAAAAAGTCTACCAGCACCAAATATTGTTCCTGATGGAGTTTCTCCACCAATACAACATCCATTAGATCCATTAAATGCTGGTAAAATCTATAAAAATCATATGAAACAAATACGACATATTATGATTTAGATGAAATAAATTTAACAACACGATTACTTTTGGCATCATCAAAGTTTCAAAAACATATGCGTATTATAGCAATAACTCCAAATGAACCTGACGATAAACATTCTGTTGTTAATTATAAATCAAAAGATCAATTACAACGACGTGCTACTGCAACAGTTCGTGATCCCAAAGGTCGAACAACTTATGAATTTGTTGTTGACTTAACAAATAAAACTATTGAGAAATGTACTGAATTCAACAACGCTCAACCAGGTTTAACATTTGATGAAATGATTGAATCTGACGATTTACTCCGTGAAAATAAAGATTTGTTAGCTGCATTTGCAAAAAGAAATATTAATATGAATGATGTCGTTTTTTATCCATTTTCATCTGGTTATCGTGATGAAACAGATGCATCATCTAAAAGACGAATCTATCGTCCATATGCTGCTGTTAGAAAACATCCAGAAGATAATTATTATGCACATCATATCGATGGTCTTGTTATTACTGTTGATTTAGATTCGTTTGAAGTGGAAGTTGAAGATCATGCCATTATACCAATACCGCCGAAATCTGGTAATTATGATCCAGAAGGTATCAAATCACCAGATAATGTACCCTATTTTCCTGATGGTATTCGAAAAGATCTTAAACCATTTATTATTACTCAACCTGAAGGTCCATCATTTCAAATAGATGGCTATCAAATTTCATGGCAAAAATGGCGTATTAGAGTTGGATTTAATGTTCGAGAAGGTTAGAGTGACTTTTTTTTCTTCATTTGTCTAATAAATAATCTCTTGTAGGTCTTACAATGAATATGGTTGAATATTTTGATCAAAATCGTTATAGACCTATCTTTTATCGAGCAGCTATTTCTGAAATGTGGGTTCCATATGGTGATGGTAGTCCTGCACATAACTTTAAAAATGCGTTTGATGTAGGCGAAGTTGGTATAGGCATATTAACAAATAGTTTAGTACTTGGATGTGATTGTTTGGGTGAGATTCGTTATCTGGATGGTATTGTTAATAATAATCAAGGTCAAGCATTATTATTAAAAAATGCTATTTGTATTCATGAAGAAGATGTTGGATTACTTTGGAAACATACCGAGTAAAGAACTATTATATTTTCTTTTTTTGTTATTATATAATTAATATTATTTTTTGAAAGATTTGTTGAACAACGTGTTCAATGTCGTCGTTCAAGACGTCTAGTTATTTCTTCAATGATCACAGTGGGTAATTATGAATATGGTCTGTACTGGTACTTTTACCAAGATGGTACTATTCAATTTGAAGGTAAACTTAGCGGAAGTATTGCACCAGGTAAATGAGAAAAAAAGAATATTTTTTCATAAGAGACAAAGAATTTTTATAGGTGCATACGAAATTGGTAAACCACCTGTATCTGGTGGAATTGTTGCTGAAGGATTATATGGTCCACATCATCAACACTTTTTCAATATGCGTATTGATTGGATGCTTGATGGAATGAAAAATTCTCTCGTCGAAGTTAATTGTGAACCAATACCAAAAGGACCACAAAATCCAGCAGGAAATGCTTGGATAGCACAAGAAACAATCTTAAAAACTGTTGGTGAAGCACGTCGATTACATGATGATAAAAAGGGTCGTGCTTGGAAAATTATTAATAGTCAAAGTAAAAATCATGTTAATCAACCAGTTGCTTATAAAATTATTCCATCTGGTCCACCATGTTATCCGTTATGTGATGAAGATTCTTGTCAAGGTCGTCGAGGTGTATTTGCCCGTAATCACATATGGGCAACACAATATCATCCAGAAGAATTATATGCTGCTGGTCTTTTTCCTAATCAATCTCCTGGTGATGACGGTATTGCTACTTATAGTGAAAAACATAAAAATGAATCATTAGTTGATAGTGATCTTGTTACTTGGTATACATTTGGTGTTACACATATTGTACGACCTGAAGATTGGCCTATTATGCCTATCGAAACATGTGGATTTCGTTTGAAACCTTATGGATTTTTTGCTGGAAGTCCAGCGTTAGATGTTCCACCACCGGTTGCAAAGGAATGTCACGGAGAAACATGCGTAAAGCATTAACTTTTAAAGTCAAATAGAGAATAAAAAAAATTCTAAAAGTCATATTCTTCTATATTTAAGATCAACATATATATTAATAGCTAAGAAGTATATTCAAGTAATTTTGTTTTTTTATATATTTTAGTTTGACTAGTAGCGCCCTCTATGACTATTATCAGAATGTTGTCTTGTTTTTATCTATATCATATCATTTGAAATGATTTTCTATTCCATGACGTTTTGTTGTTTTATTTTTAAGATTTTTTTTTGTTATAAGATATCTACTTATTTAACTGATTAATAAAATATACCAATCTGAATAATTATTTAAATATCGAATGATTATAACGATATTGATATGCTCTTAGTCTTTGTTCTATTGTTTATATTCATTGTTATTTGTTATAAATTTCGTCTTCATTTTTGGGTATTTACTCTCATACGAGAGTGTTATTTTTACTTTAAATTTCATGTTTATCGATACAAACTGTTACAAACAATGAATAATGCGGGTTAGAAAGATTATTAAAAAAAACAAAAAAAATATAAAATGAATTCTCTTTTATAGCTGTTAGTTTAGCTGCTTCTATATTTGTCAATAATGGTGCTGATAATAATAATCTATCGGATACAGATAGTGAATTATATATTCTTGGTATTAAATACAAAACTCCAAATGGTAAAAACTAATTGAAATTTCCATTGATTTAATATAAATTTTGTTTTTTTGTTAGACATCTATGCAATTAGTGATGACGTTACAAGTAGATTTTGGTTTACATATCGATATGGATTTGCTCCAATTGGTAAATAAAAATATTCATAGAAGAGAATTTTGAATATAAGTTTTAATCTCTAGGTAGTCCATCGGGTCCAACAAAAGATACAGGTTGGGGTTGTATGATGCGTTGTGGTCAAATGATGTTAGCAGAAGCTTATCTTCGATTTTTTCTACCAGCTGGAAGATGTATGTAAGATAAAAAGTTTAATTAACAAAATTTATCAATAATTTACTCAATAGATTTTCGATGGCGACAAAATATAACTGATTCAACATATTGGGAAATTTTAAATATGTTTACTGACAAACGTCATTCATCTTATTCTATTCATCAAATCGGTTTGTAATGTTAGTGAATAAATTAGTTAATATTATGTGTTTTTTTTTCTTCTTACCTATTCATTATAGTTCTAATGGGAAATTCTGAAGGAAAAAATATCGGACAATGGTTTGGTCCAAATACAATTGCTCAAGTACTTCGGTAATTTCGTTTAATAAAAAAATTCCTTTTATGTCTTTTTTGTCTTTATGTTCAGACGAATTGCTTCCAATGAATTTGATAAACAGATTCATGTACATGTCGCAATGGATAACACACTTGTACTTGACGATATACGTTAGTTATTATATCTAAAAAAAGCGCATCAACTTGTTTTTTCTCTTTTAGGTAAAGTATGTAAAATAAATTCACAAATTCCGAATTTAATTAAAAAATCTACTGATTCACAAAATAATTGGAAACCTTTGGTAATTATTATACCGCTAAGATTAGGTTTAAATGGTGTTAATATAGAATATATCGATCAAATAAAAGTAGGAAATCAAAATTTTGTATTTTAGAAATAATTTGTATTTGTTTAGTCATGTTTTCGTTTGCCACAAACACTTGGATTCATTGGTGGGAAACCTAATCATGCACATTATTTTGTTGGTTATCTAGAAAATGATGAACTTTTATATCTTGATCCACATGTAACACAAGCATATGTAGATACTAGTATTACTTCAGATGATGTATCTCATCATTGTGATAGAATCAATCGAATGAAATTTACTGGACTTGATCCATCCCTTGCTTTAGTAAGATGATAATAATATTGTATTGATTTCTAAATAGTTTTTTTATTCTTGTGATGAATTTTAGGCATTTGCTTGTAAAACTGAAAGTGAATTTGATGATTTAATTGTGAAATTAAGAGAAGTAAATATCGATATTTGTAATTGAAAGAGAAAAAAAAATTAATTTTCTAGAATCCGTCTTCAAGACCAATGTTTGAAATATGTGAATCGAATCCATTTGATGCTCTGTCAAATTCAACAGATCAGCATGAAGGTAAAATAAGAAAAAAAGAAGTATTCTTAATTGTTTATTTTTATTATTATTTTCTAGTGCTGGTTTTCGATTCTGATGATGATGATTTTGAACTGGTGTAGTGTCCTTTTTCTTTTTAATCCTTTAATTGGAACTTATTGTAAAAAATTTAAATCATTAATATATCCTGTAAAACAAATAAATATATATTTTTTATTATTTTGTTTTTGTGTTTTATTTTTCTTGAAAGATTTATCTTATAATTAATAAGATTTTTGTGCATATAAGATGCAATCAATATGAAATATCGATTAATTATTGACGTGCCGAGTATAGATTTGAGAATCGATAAAAAATAATCAATAAATCAAGGACTAAATAAAAGTCTAGTGATTTCTAAAGTTTGAGCTGCAGTTATCTCGAGTTTCAGCATATTTATTTATTATTCGATAATAAATTATTATGTATAATCTGTTTTAATAGAAAAAGATATAAATAATTGTTGCAAGACAGTTCAAAGAAATAATACTAAATGAAGTTCACTTTTCAAGTTATAATCTTTCTTTAAAATGTTTGTGTACTATTGTTGTAGAAATGAAACTAGAAGTTTTACCAGGTGAATTATGGTTTGCTATTTTATCCTATTTATCACCTTTGGACGCTTTCTATGCGTTTAATAATATGGATAATGCACGCATACATTCAATTCTAACTGATATGTATTTAATTCGACGTGATGAAGATAATTGTTCATCGATTATAAATATATCTCTTGCTCATATTCCATTATTTATGTATAATTTTGCTGTATCAAATGTTATTTCATTTTATTCGAATATAATTCATTCACTAACATTATCCAATGACCAAACACCTGATCAAATAAATAGTTTTCTTGAAAAATATTCATTTAAATATGATTTTACATATTTAAAATGTTTACATCTTATTGAACCATCATCAAATGAATTTAATTTGATAATAAATGATTTATCTAATATAAATATGCTTAATATTCAATCAAAACAAATGCATTCATTTGATATTAATACTATTCAACAAATTCTCTATAATAAACCAACAATAAAACATTGTTGTTTAAGTCAATTTCGACAAGATTTTATTTTAAATAATTCATATTCATTTATACAAAAATTAAATATTAATTCATGTGATTATTTATGTTTTATTAATATACTTAATCATTTTTATTTACTTGAAAAACTATCAATAAATATACTTTCAATGCCACGTAATGCTGTTTTATCATCAATTGATTTAATACAAAATCCAGTATTGATTAAAAATCTTAAAATACGTGCATTTAGTATTCCATTCGATTATTTTCAAATATTATTTCCTTATTTAGAAAATATTCAAATATTTTCATTTGCTATTGTTTGTGATGAAGGTTTGTAAATAAATCATCGTATAAAAATGTTATCATATTTTATTTTGTATAGGCTTTGATTATGTTAATAATGATAAATGGCAAATGATTATTAGTAATTATTGGCCATTATTAAGAAAATTTCATATTTATAGTGAATTATGGCATTTAACACCGATTGATTTTGATGAACTTTGTCCACAATTATTTTCATTTAGAAATGATTCATTTTGGACTGAACGTCAAATACAATTTATGATTGATTTCTATCAAGATAAAAATGATGTTCATCTGATTTTCTATTCTAGTCCATATCCAGATAAACGATTTTCTAATCAGTAAGTAAGCGTATATTCATAAATTACGTTCTTTCTGTAATTTATTTTCATTATTTAATAATACATTGTTTCTTATCTTATTTTTGAATTTTTTTTCAAGATGGGGTTATCCGATTGATACAGTTCATTCATTGAAAAATACAAAATATTCTTCAACAACTGAAAATACTTATCAATATGTCAATCGTTTACTCTTAACGGTCTATAATAATAAACAAATGAAATATGAATTAGATAAATCATTACGTTATTTTCCAAATATTGATACATTAACTGTACGATTTGAACAAAGTATTTCAAGTGCTTTATTTGGATTATATATTAACAAAATAATTAATCTTAGTTATATTAAACATTTAGCATTAAATGAAAAATTTCATAATATGTCAACATTATATGAACTTGTTTTACGTAAGTTTATTCGAAAAAATATACATATGTGTATCTAACTACGCATGAGTACTGTATAAACAACAAGAGGGTGGTCAAAAAATCATCACTTTTTTCGCACGCTAGAAATGTCATAATACGAAAGTCCTTGTCACCTAGATCACGAACCTGATCCCTTTTTTGTCGGTTTTACCGTAGAGGGGGGGGGGGGGAGGTACCTGAATCTTAGTAGAATAGTCCCATGGGGCTTCAAAGATAAATACATAGAGTATTCAGAGAATTTTCTGTTTCCCCAAACTTTGTAGAGCTTTTCCCGCTGATCATTTTCGTATAAGGAAGTTTTGAATTCTATTGAGAAATGGCGACGTTATCGTCAGAATATAAAACATAGTAAAATAACTTAAAATTCCATTTTTCTTATAAAATATAGGAAAAAGTCGAGCCTCAAATCTCGAACTAACTATATCCTCAAGAAATATGACATAGTAGGTTTTATACAGAAAATTGTGCTCTATAAAACCTACAATGTGATATTTCTTCGGAATAGAATCGGTTCGAGATTAGAGACCCAACTTTCTTCTATATTTTATAAGAAAAAAACAGGATTTTAAACTATTTTACGATGTTTTTTTATTTTGACGATAGCCTCGTCATTTCTCAATAGAATCCAAAACTCCCTTATACGAAAATGATCAGCGAAATAAGCGCTACAAAGTTTGAGGGAAAAGAAATTTTTTGTGAATACTTTGTGTATTTTGTGTTGGAGATTCCATGGAACTACTCAGGCACACCCCCATGGGAATCGCTGAAACAAAAAGGATCAGATCTAGACAAACGGATATCAGATTCGTGATCTAGGTGACAAGGACTTTCATAGTATGACATTTCTATGGTGTGGAAAAAATGGTGATTTTTGATCACTCCCTTTAATTATGAATTTTTTCAGGTCTTCCAAATATGACTAAATTAACAATAACTAGTAATCATCGTATATTAATTAAACAAATATTTCAACGAAAAAATGAACGTTTATTATCATTATTAAGTCGTCGTCTTCTTCATTTTAATTTATTATATGATGGTGTTATATCTTATGAAATAATTCAATCAGTACAATTTAATTTTCCTAACTTGAAATCTTTTTCCGCTTGTTTACCACATTTTGAAGATTTTCGTGATGCAATTCCATCATTTATACGTCATATGAAATCTCTTCAATATCTTCATATTGGTTTAGAAGGTGATAATGATAAGAAAAATTTTCTTACACAAGATATGTATGATTGGTTTCGACGACATCAGATTTTTCAAGAATTCAAATTATCTGTTGATACATATACAAATTCAATTCATATATGGTTATAATTAATGAAGTATATATATATATATATATGTTTTATGTATTCTCATTCTTGTTTGTATTATATTTATTGAATAAAACATTGAACATGAAGGAAAAATAGAAAAAATATCGAAATTGAATATGAAAAAAAGTAATTCATGTTAGCTAATGCCGATGATCCCAGTTGTTTTCGACAAAAATCCGAACCAATAGATAATTGTGTTTCGTTTTGAGTTAAATTCAATCCAGAATTTTGATAGGAACAATATCGAGGCCACGATTTTATTGCATCAACTGTACCATTACCTGGGCTAAATAAAATAACTTTCAGCTTTAAAAATACCTATGAAAACAAGAAAAGAAAAAACACGATTACCATTCGGTATAACCTGGCCGTTGTGATTGCCGATGTGTAATAATATAATAATCTTTTTTTACATGACCTTTTTCAACACCACAATCAATCCATAATTTTACTGCATCTAATGCTTTTTGATTTGGAGATGCTACTTGGAAATCACCAATAATACAAATACCTTAAAATAAACAGTCAGTGATAGAATTAATCGATATAAATTATTACCATATGCATCATTATTCCATCCTGGTGCATGTGCACCTTGACGATCCCATCCTCGTCCTTCATAAACTTTTCCATTTTCACCAACTAGAAAATGATAACCAACATCAGCCCATCCATTAGTATTTTGATGTATATCTTGAATCAATTTTACACGTTCAATGCATGATATATCATCATAACAACTATAAATAATCATATTAAATAAATAAAATTTATATTCAAACATAAATCTACTTTGGAGGTAGATAAGTATGATGAATAACATAAAAAGAAAAGGGTTTTGTTGTTAAATTAGTTATTGATGTTGGATCTCGTGCACCCCATCCAGCTCGATCGACAAATGACACTTGTTCACAAGCAGATTTAGCATTAACAACAGTTTGAAACAAAACACAAAATAGTAGTATGCGTATCATACTCATGTAATATTACTTGCAAATAACAAAGTATTGAATACTTAAAAGATGTAAAAGAGTTTTTTTTCGTATCCTTTTTATAAAGGTTTGATTTCTGATTAAATATTTTGATGTATTTTTTCTTCTACTAATCGCTTATCTACAAAGGATGATAAACAAATTTAAAGAGGATTTATACAACACATACTTAAGTCTTATAAATCGTTTTTGAAATACGATAACTCATAGATCACAAAGATAACAAAAACAATAAAAAGAAATATTTCGGTAGTAAATATATTCGACGTCAGTAAACAACATGTCATTCTGTGTACATATTTAATCAAATGAATGAAATGAAAAGAGCTACTTTTTAAATTTCAGTACTAATTAAGATTGATTCTTTGAATTATGTAATTGTTACACATGAATAATGTAATATAAAGTTCTTTTTTGTGTTGTTTGCTTATTACCGAAGAGTTTTTTGTTATCAGTGCAATAAAAATCAATTGCCTCGAGCAATGAATGCTGTCATTTTTTACTTAATGATCGATCAAATGTTATTTAAGAGCTTCATTAAATAAATATGTTCGAAACTATTTATTGATGATAGCAAGATTCTTCATGTGTATCGTAATGATATCAGCCTGTTTTTTCTCTTCATATTACGAATCGTTTTCGTGCTTTTATGTGTGTTAGGTACGTATGAAATATTGGAGATGAATTTGTTTATCAACGAAATAAATATCGATTAGACCTTGAAATTCAAATCATGTATATTCTTCTCAGTATTGTTGACTATGCAAACTATTGATATTGCGTAAATAATGTAGCGTAACCGGTTCTCTCCCTCTCTGTTTATATCTTCGTTGTATAAACTGAATAATTTTTTTCAGTTTCTTGTCTCTTTGATAGTTTTGGCGTGACATTGCACATTAATACAAAAAAAAACAATGCGTTTACAATATTTTGCCAACCGATATTTAATCATCAATATTTAACGTATTTATTACAACAATATGATGAAAATCTTCAGAATTTTTACACGACATTTAAACTACCGAATATTATTTAGACCAGATAATTGGTATATACTTCCATTATTATGTATTGTTTTATTTTTTGTATTTTTTCTTCAAATACTTCTACTTGTAATTATTTATTCTATATACATTTTTCGATCAAATCAATGTTGTTTTGATTCATCTAGTATAATTATTTCATTAACAACTACTCCAGAAAGATTTCATCATGAACTTCCATTTGCTATTCATTCATTATTATCTCAAACACAATTACCAAAACAAATTCGTATTTATCTATCACCAACATCTCTCATTACTCAACAAACAAACTTAACATTAAAGCATTTAAAAACCGATTTACAACATCTTGATTCATCAAAGATTATTACCAGATTATTTGATAAACTAGTAGAAATTCGATTAGAAGTAGAAGATTATGGTCCAGCAACAAAATTTTTACCAATTATTAAAGAATTTCATTTAATGAACACTATGGAATCAAGTTCACAAGCGATTATGATTTGTGATGATGATCAGTATTATCACCCACGTACAATAAGTACATTAAATGAATATTCAACTAAATATCCAAATAGTATCATTGGCTTCAGAGGATGGAGAAGTAAGAATTTATTATAATAAAAATATATACAGATCTAACATACGTATTCATTGTTTTTTAAGTACGTAAAGATCTTGTGTGGGGTGTACGTGGTGGATTTGAAATAGATTATCATATCATTCGATCATATCATCTTTCTAAAATGTATCGTGTTGGTATCGTTACTGCAACTGATGCTTATCTTATTCGTCCATCATTTTTTGATTCTCATATTTATAATGATTTCAATCAAGCACCTAATGATATTCGTCATGTTGATGATATTTGGTTAAATGGTCATGCAGCAATACGTAACATAACTCGTTATGTTGTTCCATCATGTTGTTCTCATATAAGTGTTACGCGAACTCATGCACTCGAACAATATTTAGTAAATCATAAAATGACTCGTGGATCGGCTAATAGTCATGCATTAAAATGGTTTGATAAAATGTGGGAAAAAGATTTATGGTATAAATTTAAAGGTGAAAACAGACCAGAACATCGAAATAAACGGACAGTTATCCTACGACAATGGATGAATATTATTGAATTTCTTAAATTTATTGTTAATTTTGGTTTTGTATATGATTGATATGATTTAATTTTTCAAGGTATGAATCCCTATTTTCATATACATATAAGAGTAAAAAAGAAAAATCAATATAATCTTATTTACATTTATTTTAACATAGTGAAAAGATATACATATATTATAAGGGGCGAAACAGTTGACCCCTTCATAAAATATAAAATTATACTAACGTCCCATTCGTTTTGTTTTTATCGAGTGCACTAAAGCATTGGTTTTTTTTGTCGTTCTCTCTACGAATTGTTTTTTCTTTTTCTACATGTGCACATCGCGCGGTCATTATAATTATTCTTTTCACTCGTCCTACTGTTATATTTTACCTGTCATGATATTCTTTTCTAACAAAATGTTATAACAATTCTATTACTTACTTCTTGATTTGAAATATGATTCAGTATTTCATACGATCTTATAACTATCGTTCACCATTAAAACGTTCTCGACGACGTTCACATTATCGTTCATGTATTATTATTATTTTCCTATTGACTCTGACACCTTTTATCATTTCAATTTTTTACTCTTTGTTTATTTTTCAATTAAATTATTTTGAATCTTATTCATCTAATGTAATTATTTCATTAACAAGTACGCCAGAAAGATTTCATCATGAACTTCCATTTGCTATTCATTCATTATTATCTCAAACACAATTACCAAAACAAATTCGTGTTTATCTATCACCAACATCGCTTATTACTCAACGAGAAAACTTAACATTGGAGTATTTAAGAGCGAATATACAAAATCTTGATTTATCAGAGATTATTACCAGATTATTTGATAAACTAGTAGAAATTCGATTAGAAGAAGAAGATTATGGTCCAGCAACAAAGTTTTTACCAATTATCAAAGAATTTTATTCAGATTCACAGCCACTAATGATATGTGATGATGATCAATATTATCATCCATATACTCTAGCAACATTGTATGAATATTCAATTAAATATCCGAATAGTATTATTGGTTTCAGAGGTTGGCGAGGTAAAAAAAGTTACTTTATTTAATGCTATAAAATCTATAAACTTCATTATATCTTAATATTTTAGTTCGTAATGATCTTATTTGGGGTGTTCCAGGTAAATATGAGATGGCTTATCATATTATTGAATCACCTTATCTCGCTAAAATTTATCGTGTTGGCGTTGTTACTGCAACCGACGCTTATCTTATTCGTCCATCATTTTTTGATTCTCATATTTATAATGATTTCAATCAAGCACCTAATGATATTCGTCATGTCGATGATATTTGGTTAAGTGGTCATGCAGCAAAACGAAATATAACTCGTTATGTTGTTCCATCATGTTGTTCTCATATAGGTGTTACTCGAACTCATGCCCTCGAACAATATTTAGTAAATAATAAAATGAATCGATTATCAGCAAATAGTCATGCATTAACATGGTTTGGTGAAAATTGGGAAAAAGATTTATGGTATAGATTCAATGGTGCAAATGCACCAGAATATCGTAGTTGGTGGAGGATAATTTATCGAGAATGGATTAGTCTAATATTTAAATTGAAATTTATTATGTATTTTGGATTTATATAAAGAAAAAAATTCAGAATAACATCCTGAATATTAAAAATAAAATTCTCCTTAAAACAAGGAGAAAATAGTTTAAAGTTGAATTGGATTAGGAGTTGAGTTTTGTTTTGAATACGGATTAAATAACGGTGAGATATAAGCATGAAGACTCGGTCTTGAAGTTGGTATAAAAATAGCATAATCATGATCAAGAACTGGACAAAACCAAAAGAATGGTGGTGTAAGATAACGTCTAGATGATTGCTCATTGTTTACATGTGGTACCATTTCTGGATAAAAATAATATTGTTCAAGAGATATAGATGGGTTTTCTGTATTATTTCTTGAATATGGAATCCATGTTGGTTTATCATTAAAACGCACGTTCTTTATTGGATGAAAATCTTGATTAGATAAATTTGATGTTGAATCATAATCATGCGGAAAATTAATTGAAACAGCATGTTCATCAAGTCTTTGAACATGATAACGTGCATTGATTGAATTGTAACCATATTTTTCTATTTGTTTAGCTACCGGATAGAAAACTAAGGATTCACAACAAATAAAAAAATACAAAGATCGAAATCTCTTCACTTACTATCATAATCCGTAACTGTATCAATAATTACATCATAATACATTGGAATAATTTTTGTATTTGAATGAGATTGTAATAAATTATCATCGATAAATTTATCTTTATTACACATCGATTGAGATGATTCTATTCTTATAGGATTCTGTTTAGTTCTCATTGAAATTGGTCTATAGGAAACCATATTCGATGGAGCATTCAAAAATAAACATGCAATATCTTGATCAAGTTTAGATACAGATGAATACATATGAAATTTTTTTTGAAGAGAAACATTTATTTATAAGGTCAATACATGATTTGTGTTAAATGTTAATGTTCTGTTCTTTTTTTTAGATAAATTTCTTTTTATGTTTATTTTAAATAATATATTTATATGAAATTATGTAAATCGACTATCGGATGGTAAAGCTAAAAATAGTTCGTTTGATGCATCCATTAAAATAGCACCATCCGCATCCGCTGAATTAATCTCTTCAATTAGATGACTTCCACTATTATAAGTAAATGTTGTTGATGGATAAGGAAAATTCGGTGGTTTTTTTGGTACGGCAGGTGGAGGTGGAGATGATGATTCTTTTTTGGTTCGAACAGGATGAACAAGTGAATTATATATCGTATCATCATCAGTTGATAATGTTCTTTTACGTGGAACATGCTGTGCTTGATTTCCTGGATCCTAGAAAGATAAATGTTTTGTTTCTAATTTATATATATTTAACAAAAAAAAATACTAACAACACTGGCCGCCCTTTGTTGTTTGTAATTTTGTCGTTTTTTAGCTGCTGATGAACCTGAACGATAACCTTCATCAGTTGTAGTTGCTGTTGTTGTTTGATCATCTTTTATAGTTGAATTTTGTTCAACACTATGTGATCGTTTATAACGTTTAAATTGATCATCAATTGCTGCTTGAATTTTTGGATGTCGTGAACGAGTACGATGTGATGTTGTATCATGATGAGTTGATACAAGAATACGACGAATTTGCATATCAAATGATTGAACAAATATTTGACAACTTGATAGAATATTTCGAATTTGTGATGATGATGATGATAATGGTGCAACAACAAATTTAAGTGGTGTATTTGTTGGAATAGCAGCAATATTTGATGTTGATAATGATGCACATACAGCAAATTCTTCAGTACGTGAACCACGTAATTGTAAATTACCATTAAAATCTTTATATGCATATGACCCTTAAATTAGAAGAACAAAAATTAGTAACAAATATTATTTAAAATTAAACAAAAACCAAACCAGGTAATTGAGCTAATTTAATATTGAGAGGCATTGGAAATTGTTCAATAAGATTATGAATCGCCTGTAATTTATTTACATTACTTGATCCACGTTGTCCGACAGGTATTAAATTGATTTCATCTGTCGATGAACATGGAATATAACATACTTGTTGATTCATTAAGATACATTTTAATGCATATTCATTTCGATTTAAAATGTGTTTACCCAAACAAAACCACCATGAAAAAGCATAATCTTCATCTGTTAAATCATCATTAACTGTTGGAGTATATTCAACATGAACAAGTTTATCGAATAAAATTACTTGATTAGCTTCAATTTGATGCCATGTACGATTTGCAATTCCTTCCTCATTAGCCTCAACTGTATAAACACGCATGGGTGATACCATATAAAATGCCTGTGGTCGATGATCAATTTGCATTTGTTCAACAATTGAACGAATATTAGTTTCTGGCGCAATACCAATTTGTTGTCCTGTAAATTAATATTAAATTTAAGAAAATGAATATATATTTTAATTAATCTTACGATTATTCCGTGATGGTAAACATTCGAAGTATCCTTAAAAATTTTCAAAAAGAAATAAAAAAGGAAGTAGAAAGTATTGCATGACTCACCAGGATATTTTAAAGGTACAGCTAATAATTCTGAATCGATTGGTCTGTATGACGCATATTCTTTTGTTGTTGATTGCGTAACTCTTAAAGCACGTCCAAATCCAAATGTAGTACGAGCTATTGAGTGCAAAATAATCGGATGGCTTGATCCACGAAAGCCAGGTGCTGATCGAATAGCTACTGGTAAAGTATATTGAGCAGCAATAGCTTGTATTGATAAGGGTTGTGATGTCCACTCATAGGACATTTTCGAAAATAACTATACGTTGAAAAGTTAAATATATTATCTTAAACAACCTTCCATGCGCTCAAGGTTTGTTTTGTTTATACATTTAGAGAGAGAAAAAAGGAACAAAATAAAAAGAAGGGAGGTATGTAATATATGCTATTTTACTTAAGTATGATATTTACAAATGAAAGGAAAAGAGAGAAGGCAATACAGCGTGACAAACAATGTGAAAATACTCCTGACTTTCGTTAGTTATAAATTACGCGTTTCAATTTTGTTTTTACACGTTATTATTCTGATATGAAAAAAAAATAATCAATTTCTATCTTATTATTGATCATATTATCATCGTTCGATTTAAACATGTCCAAAAAAGGTATATTTTTTTGATTTATTATACATGCGCGATCGAAAAAATTCGAAGGACGCAAAACACATGTACTATATCATGAAACTTACTAATCATAAGATAAATATATCCTTACATATACAAACATTCTGCTTTATTTTATCTTACGTAAACGTATTACTATAGAAAACTGTCATTCTTGATGTAACCATCATATTCTTATGTATAATATTTATTCATTATTAATAGAAAAAAGGTTTGAGAAATTTATTATATATTACAAAATAATAAAAAAATTAATGTTATAACATTAAGCAAATTATTTCAATCGAACAATAACAATACCATTTGCCACAATTCAATGTTTTTTTCTCTATACATTCGCTTTGTATTCGAAATAAATAAATACAAATTATTTATGTACCTAAATAAATTTTCTAATGCGAATTCGATTCAATTTTTGCTCCAGTTATGATTTGCATTTACAGAAGTGAAGCTCCAGTTGAATATATATTCAGTTAATATAATCTTATTTCAATTCTGTTATTTTACCTAGACATGGTATGATAAATGAAAAAAAACAAACGGAAATATATTTTGTACTGAACTTACAAAAATATCTAGTAATCAATAAATAATATAGTGTCTTCTTAATACGTAAAATCTGTTTAGCTAGTCTATGAGTTATTGAAATACTGTATACTATGAATAAGAAGATTCGATATCAAATCTATTGGTTTTTGAATTACTACGTATTGTTAATATTTTTTTGCAATGTTTACTTATCCCGCAAAAGTTTTCATTAGTTAATCAAATCAGTATATGTAAATGTCATTAGAACAAGTACTGTGTCAATGAACAATAATCACTCTAAATGTTAATGTGATCGAGTATACAGATAAAATTCATATGTATTAAAATAGAATTTTCGTCGATGTCTAGAAAAATTATATACATAAATGTTATATGTAAATAGAGACCTACAGGATATGACATTTTCGTTACGTCTATCTGCATTTAACAAAGTTTTGTCACCTTACCCTGTGACCTTTGTAACCTATGGACTCGATATGTCAATATTTTTTACTTAGTATCAGTATCAGATCAATCAGTATCTCAATGAGCGTTACTGCGACGATGATTATTCATCATATACTTTCATTAATTGTACCAATGTATTGCAAGATTATTTTTTTGTAAAGTTTATGCTTTAGTATACTCATTGACAATGGATAAACGATTAGTTTATTAATTAGTAAAAACTAAGTTATATTCTAGTCTAGCATTCAAAACAAAAGTATAAGCTATGTATTACAATTGCGTATATATAGAAAAAAAATTTAATTTGAATCAAAATCATTCTGTTTACAAATATTTCTTTCACAATATTTTATCGAAGAGCGTTTAATATTCATCAATTGATAGTATCTATCATATTATTTTTTTAAATTGCTTGATGAAAAAAGAATCTCTATCTTTCTGGATGCATATAGCTACTTTCTTTAAATTAATGATAACTATTGAATTCTGAATATCAGTTAAATTAATTTTAATCATTTCAAAATGAAACATATAGAATAACTTTTATCACAAAAAAAATAATCACAGGTGAAAAAAAACATTTTTTTATCAGTTTATATCACACATTTGACATTATATCTCTGAACAAAAACAAAAACGGTTTTATAATTGTTTTAGAATTTGTTGAATGGCTAGATTAATGTCTTTCAGATCTTTATGTCCAGCTGGTAATGCACGATGGAAGATAGCCGATGCTTGTTGATAATACTTTAATGCCTGTTTGAAATCACGTTTCTGAGCATAAGCTAACCCTATATTTGTATAACTGTTACCAAGTGACAGATGTTCAGGAGAAAGAATTCTTAATTTAATTGTAATTGATAAATGAAAATGTTCTATAGCACGATCATAATCTTTCAAAACACTGTAAACAATACCAATTTCATTATGAGATTTGGCTACAGTTAGACGATCATCACATGACTGCCTACGATCGATATCCAATGCTTTTTGGTAGAATTCTAATGCAGTTTCATATTTTTTCCTACGTCTATAATATGAACCAATATTACTATAGAAATCAGCCATATGTGAATGATCTTCAGCATGTGCTTTTTGAAATTGTTCGACAGCTTTCTTAAAACACTTCAATGCTTCTTCATCATTTCCAATAGACCAATAAGATTCACCAATACAATTATATAAACTACCAATACTAATTAAATCAGATGAATTTGTTTTCTTTTTACTTTCTAATGATTGTTTAAACCATTTCAAACTAGCATCATGATCTCCTATTTCTTTATTGACTGCACCTAATGCACAATATATATCAGATCGTAAAGGATCATTCGATGGAAGTTCATTGACTGAAAGTAAATATACTTTTTCAGCAAGAGCATATTTACCCAATTGACGTAATTTATTACCAAAAGTATAAAGATCAATTTTATTATCTTCATTTTCATTCTTCATATATTCAAACACAGGTCGAAGTTCATGTTCATCACCATTACAAAGTCTCATTTCCACCTTTAAATCATCTTTACCAACTGCAGTAACACTAACTATACGAAATATTGTTCCAGTCATAAATAATATTTCTCCTTGATCCATAAAACTATTGCTTTTACTAATATCAGCAAATCGTTTTGAATTGGAATCGACATTGATAGTAAATAAAACATGACAATCACCTGGATAAATCATTCTTTGATGTAAATTTCTTAATACTTTATTTTTATTGGTATCAGCCCAAAGAAATGATTTCATAGACATAAAGTTATTTGCTTGATTTTGTAGATCTCTTACTTCACCTGAATTCATAACTTGACCATAATAAACAGGAACTGATAATTCACATGTATTTTGTTTTAATTGATAATGCATATCACTAATTATCATACGAAATAAGATTAACTGATTTAAATCTTGTTGACATAAAGCTTTATTTAACATTCTATATAAAAATGAGTCACGAGTATACCACGATAAAACTTGATCTGATGTTGTATATTCATCATTAAATTCACGAATAGCTTGTGATTGATTAGTATCGCCGGCATAATCCTTTTTACAAATAGCGACAAGTTTTTGTTTCTCATTTGGAATGGGAGTTAATTGAAGAAGCATATTGGTTATTACAAGTGAATGAATAAATTGATTTTGAAGTCCAATTGTTGATGGATCAGTTCGTTCAGTAATGGAATAAATATTATATGATATTGATTCTTTTTTCTCTACTCGTTTTTTTTTATCTGATTTGATTCGAGTAAGTAGAATTTTTTGTTCAACAATGACGTCTTTCACCTAAAAAAAAATTAAAATTTATTTAATAATATTAGATAAATATTGTATACTTTTGAAAAATCTTGAGACCATTCTCTGTTTGATTCTTTGTTCATACAATAAACATAGATGGATGAAAGCTTTCGAAGGTTATGAACTTGAGGAACAATTTCTCGACCTAGTTTACCACTAACAATAAGAATAAGTCGTTCTTTTTCATCAAATGATTCAATTTTTTCTTGACATTGAGAAAGGTTATCAAATGTTTGCAGATTATTCACCATAGCACGAAGTAAAGTTTGAGTTTTTTGATTATGATCTGCTGTATTGACTTCTGTATCGAGCCAAAATAATGAAAATGATTCGGATTCAGCACCGGGAACCACAGTATTTTTACGATTTGCACCTGCCATTGCGTATGAAACAATTCTAAAATTCACACATTATAAATTTGATTTGTTCTGTACTAGGAAAATAACAAATGACGTCATCGAATTTTCTTTTATCCAGTTTTGTGAAGTAAACAAGCGTCGACGTTCTTTTTTTACTCGTAATAAAAAAAAACCAGGGATAAAAACGCCAGAAATAAACTTGTAGTTTCTAACTACTGAATTTTAAGAAGAAGCCAATCAATACTCTCATCAGTAGCGTAACTAAGACAAACTTGTAAGGAGACTTAACCCCTATTTTTTTTGACATCTAGAGGGGGAAGGGGCTGAGCTTCTCTTCATAGCCACGATCTGGTTACGCACCTAACTATCAGTGTTAATGTGTTATGCATCTAGCTATGATTATTTACAGGCAGTCTAACTAGGTTGTAATAAAAAATCACTCAATTGCTAATTGTAAGAACTCATTTCAAGAAATATTTGATAAAATTGAGAAAGACTATTTAATGATGTCAGATACTTTACTGTATATAGTTATAAATTTCAGTTCCGTCAAAACAAAATCCATTTTCTTTGAAAGAAAAAAAGGTACCGCACAAACAGTGTTATTCGATTTTATGAAGTGTTTGAGTGTTTTTTACTCACCAAAAAAAGAAAATGTTTCACTATCGTGACTTTGGAATTTATGAAATTACAGGCTTCCTTTTTCGATGTCATACGTCTGGCTTTTTTTTATGTGTTTGCCAACTCATTACGTCATTTACGGAGTTGGTATTTTTTCTTTTTATATGAAAATAATTGTTTAGAACAAGATTGTATACTAAAGAATTCATTACAATGATTTTTGCTTGCTATAAATATTGAAGAGTGACTAATGAACGATGATTAGAGGCATCTATTGATAGTCTAACGCGTGACATGTACAATTCGATGAAAAGTATATGTATGAAACGAATCAAATTTTCATTTGT